TCTGGCAACCAACAAAATGTTCTCTATATCTATGAGAATGTTTCAGATCTGCATGTTCATTTTGTTTGTAGATTTGATTGTTGATAGATATGTATTCATTGCCATTTTGTTTGTTCATATTTTTTATCTTTTTCTTCAAGAAGACCCTTCAACATTTCATATAATAACGGTTTGGTGGTGAGGAACTCCTTTAACTTTTCCTTGTCTGGGAAACTCTTTATATGGCAATCGATTCTGAATGACAGGTTTGCAGGATAGAGTAATCTTGGTTGTAGGTTCTTGCTTTTCATCACTGAATATTTCTTGCCACTCCCTTCTGGCCTGCAAAGTTTCTTTTGAGATATCAGCTGACAGTCTTATGGGAACTCCCTTGTAAGTAACTAACTGCTTTTCTCTTGCTGCTTTTAAGATTCTCTCTTTGAACAAATACTTCAAAAGTTCATATGGAACCAAAAAAGACCCCGAATAGCCACAGCAATCTTGAAAAAGAAGAACAAAGTTGGAGGGATCACAATACCAGATATCAGGTTATACTACAAAGCGACTGTAACCAAAACAGCCTGGTACTGGCACAAGAACAGGCATATAGACCAGTGGAACAGAACTGAAAACCCAGAAATGGACCCAAGGCAATACGCTCAATTAATATTTGACAAAGGTGGCAAGAGCATACAGTGGAGTAAAGATAGCCTCTTTAATAAATGGTGTTGGGAAAATTGGACAGCTACATGCAAAAAAATGAAACTAGACCAACTTACACCATACACAAAAATAAACTCGAAATGGATAAAAGACTTAAATGTGACCCGTGAATCCATACAAATTCTAGAAGAAAATGTAGGCAACAAAATTTCGGACATCATATGGAGCAGAATTTTCACTGATACATCACCTAAGGCAACAGAAATAAAGGAGAAAATGAACACATGGGACTACATCAAACTAAAAAGCTTCTGCACAGCAAAAGAAACAATCATCAAAATGGAAAGGCAACCCACTATATGGGAGAACATCATTGCCAATGATGTATCAGATAAGGGGTTAATTTCCAATATATACAGAGTGCTCATACAATTCCACAAAAGGAAGACAAAGAACCCAATTAAAAAATGGGCAGAGGAGCTGAATAGACACCTCTCCAAACAGGACATACAAATGGCCAAGAGACATATGAAGAAATGCTCAACATCACTAATCATCAGAGAGATGCAAATTAAAACAACTATGAGGTATCACCTCACACCTGTCAGAATGGCCGCCATCAACAAATCATCAAACAACAAGTGTTGGCGAGGGTGTGGAGAAAAGGGGACTCTAATACACTGCTGGTGGGAATGCAGACTGGTGCAGCCGCTATGGAAAACAATATGGTGCTACCTCAAAAAATTAAAAATTGAACTTCCATTTGACCCAGTGATCCCACTGCTGGGAATATACCCTAAGAAGCCTGAAACACCAATCAGGAAGAATATATGTACCCCCATGTTCATAGCAGCACTATTTACAATAGCTAAGATCTGGAAACAGCCCAAGTGTCCACCAGTAGACGAATGGATCAAAAAGCAGTGGTACATATACACAATGGAATACTATGCAGCGGTAAGAAAGAAAGATCTCTTATCCTTTGAGACGACATGGAGGGACCTGGAAAGTATTATCCTAAGTGAAAGAAGCCAAGCAGAAAAAGACAAATACCACATGATCTCACTTATATACGGAATATAATGAACATAACAGTCTGAGGAATACAGTAGACCCAGACACATGGAAGTAGGGCACAGACTGACATCTCTCAGAAGAGGGGATGGGGGGTGGGGGGGTGGGAAGAGATAAACCACAGAACTTATATGCATGTATGCATGACCAATGGACATGGACAACTAAGCCGGGGACAGGGTGGAGGGGGGTGGGGTGGGGGGTGCCAATGGGGTAAAAAGGTAAAATATCTGTAACAAAAAAATAAATAAATAAATAAAATTAAAAAAAAAAAAAAAAGATTCTCTCTTTGTCTTGCATCTTTTGTATTTTGATGATGATGTGTCTTGGTGTGGGTCTCTTGGGGTTCATCTTGTTTGGGACTCTCTGTGCTTCCTGGACTTGTATGTCTGTTTCCTTCACCGAGTTAGGGAAGTTTTTTGTCATTATTGTTTCAAATAGGTTTTCGGTTTCTTGTTCTGTCTCTTCTTCTGGCACCCCCAGGATGTGAATGTTGGCATGCTTGAAGCTGTCCCAGAGGCTCCTTACACTATCCTCATTTTTTTGGATTCTTTTTTTTTTTCTTTTTGCTGTTCTGATTAGGTGTTTTTTGCTTCCTTATATTCCAAATCGATGGTTTGCTTCTTGGCTTTACCAACTCTACTATTGAATCTGTGTAAATAATTCTTTATTTCAGTTAGTGCCTCCTTCATTTCTGACTGTGCATCCTTCATTTCTGACTGGTCCTTTTTTATGCCCCTCACTAAGTTCGCTGAGGTTCTCACTAAGTTCATTGAGCATCTTTATAAGCAGTGTTTTGAACTCAGCATCTGTTAGGTTGCTTATCTCCATTTCGCTTAGTTCTTTTCCTGGGGTTTTGTTCTGTTCTTTTATTTTTTATTTTTCTTATCCTCACCCAAGGATATTTTTTCATATTTTTCTTCAGGTAGAGTGGGAGAGGGAGAGAGAGAGAGAAACATTGACGTGAAAGGGACACATCGAGTGGCTGCCACCCACATGACCAACCAGGGCCGGGGACAAACCAACTGAGGTACGCACCCTTAGCGGGAACCAAACCCGGGTCTCTCTGGACCACAGGCCGACGCTCTAACCGCCAAGCGAAACCGGCCAGGGCTGTTCTGTTCTTTTATTTGGGGACTGTTTCTTGGTCTCCTCATTTTGGCTGCCTCCCTGTGTTTGTTTCTGTGTATTACTTAACAAGAGGTGTGGAGCTAGATGAGACCAGATGCTGCTTGTTTGAAAGAATTTAGGAAAACCTGAAGCAGGATCCAAGACAGGCCAATCCTATGGTTAAGCAACTGGCAACAGCTTGGGTGGGCCTGAAAGTTGGGTGGGGCAGGGCCTCAGGGAATCACCAGGGCAGGGCTACCAGTGTGAGCCAGGTTGCTGGAGTCCCAGTTAATGGCAGCTGTCTGCTGCCCCAGGGAAGGGCTCACCAAAGGAACAAAAGCCTCTGACAGCATGTCTGTCCAGGAGAAAGCCCCTCTCCAGCCCTCGCTCCAATGCCAAACAGCTCAGTTCTTCCCTGTGTGTCTCTGGCGCCCCTCAAGCTTCCCCTCTGAGCTTAGAGGGAGCAAGTCCAAGTAAGTTCGTGTGCGGTCCCTTTAAGAGGAGCTGCCTGGGGCTCCAGCCCCCTCAGCTTCCCTGAGCCTCAGTTCCCACTGGTTTTACAGCCAGAAGTTATGGAGACTTCTTTTCCTGGCACTGGAACCCTGAGCGGGGCTCTTGGTGTGGGACAGGCATCTCTCAGTCCTCAGAGAGGACCTTCCCAGCTGAGGTATCCTCCTGATTTTTATCCCACACGTGGGTGTGTGGGACTAGCCCGTCAGCCTCCGCCCCTCCTACCAGTTTCGATGTGGTTGCTTTAATTCCGTAGTTGTAGGACTTCCATTCAGCTCAATTTCAGGCGGTTTTGAATGACAGTTGTTCTGTAGTTTCGTTGTAACTTTGATGTGGTTGTGGGAGCAGGAGAGGACCACGTTTACCTACGCTGCCATCTTGACCGGAAGTCTGTTGACTTTCTGTAAACAAGTAAAGCAGTCTCTTTTTGACAATAAATTCTGTAATAATGAGTCCTTTATTCCTGTGTGTTTTCAGTTTTTTGAGAATTTTGGGGGCATTCTTTTTTTACAGGTTCTTACATTCAAAGAACCTAACTTTTGCTGACATTAAACATAAATATATGGCCCACTTACTACATTCTTTTTAAGCCACAGTTAAATTTTGGGTAGGAATTACTTCAGGATAGTTGACTGACTAAAAGTTTACTTTTCTAGATCTTTACAACCCTTTTGGAAGAAGCAATAACATTAATTTCTTTACAGCATGTATTGTCATTGTATGTTTCTTAGATGAATTTAATAGACCTAAATTGCATTTTGTTTAAAACTGTAGTTAGGATTGGTTTTGAAATCTTGTCAAAGCTGCTACAGTATTAGAATCAACCTCTTAAAGCTCTGGGATGTTTTTTTTATGATGGCTATAATGAAATTTTGATTTCTTTTGTTATTGAATGTATTTTGTGAAAGTTAATTTTATTCTTAAACCAATAATGAGCCTGATTGTTGATGTTTTACTATTTTTAAATAGGTCAGAAGACTTCTCTAACACAAGAAACAGAGCTTTTGGAATCCTTACTTCAGGAGGTAGAACACCAGGTAATGAAATATTAAATGTAATAAAGTCTTTCTCTTTTTGTCTAGATGCTTTAAAATTCTTTTTTAATAGAGATTATATAAGATCAAAAGATCTTACAATCTATGTGCTGGGGATTTTTTTGAAGTAGGATTTAGCTGATTCTTCTCAAGTTTTCTTGGTCATGTTTGGGAACTAGATGAAATTAAGATTTATTCTGTTTTGCAAGAATGGTGCATAGCATCTAAATCTATAAAAGATTGAAATCTTTGACATGACTTAAGCAGTGCTTTTGAGATAGAATGTTATTGTCAATTACTTATATATAGCATACATAAAAATTAGCTTTTTTATTAAGGAAATTTTAGTTAAGTGTCAAATATACAGCAAGCAATGTTTTAGATGTTTGGAACACAGCTGTGGGTGAAATGGAAAAAAAAATCTGTCCCCATAGAGTATATTTTAGATTGCGGGTAAGTGGGTATTAAGTATATACTGAATGAATAAATAAATGTATAGTGTTAACATAACTGATATATTCATTTGTTTTTTTTGTTTTTTGGGTTTTTTTGGTGCGTGCCCCTAACGGGAACCATACCCAGGACTCTCTGTCCGCCGGCCGACGCTCCAACCGCTGAGCCAGACCGGCCAGGGCCGTTTTTTTCTTCTTGTTGTTTTTTATGTATCCTCACACAGGGACCAATCTTCTCTGTATCATTCAAATTTTAGTATGTGTGCTGTCGAAGCGAGCACTATATTCATCTGTCTTGAATTTGGTTTTTGGAATTTTGGAATTCCTCTCTGTGCCTAATACATAGTTGTCTCCTGAGATTTTTGTTAATTAATCATCCTGGGGATTTCCTTTACTTCTTTGCTTGAGTTGAATCCCATGGTTCCTGATTGCCATGGCTTTCACTCTCTTGTTTTGCTCATTTATTTTGATATTATACTTCTTATAGCTTTCCTGAAAGGATAATCAGAATAAATTTTTTGAGACTAAATATCTGAAAATACTTTTTTTTTTCTTTATTGATTTTAGAGAGGGAGGGAGAAGGAGAGAGAGAGAAACATCGATAAGAGATAACATCGATTGGCCACCTCCTGTTTGCTCCCCACTGGGGACCTGGCCCACAATCTGGGCATGTGCCCTGACCAGGAGCTGAACTGGCGACCTCTTGGTTTATTGGTCAACTCTCAACCACTGAGCCACACCGACCGGGCTGTCTGAAAATACTTTTATTTGCTCTTTACATTTGATTGACTGTTTGGCTGGTAGGATTCAATACACAAATAAAGAAATATTTTTTATTATTTTGAAATTCTCACCTGAGGACATGCTTAGAGAGAGAATTATGGATGTGAGAGAAAAATATCAGTGGGTTGCCTTCTGTATATGCCCTGACTAGGTATCGAACCCACAACCTTTTGGTGAACAGGATGATACTCAGCCAACTAAGCCATTCCAGTTGGGCATAGATATTTATTTAAATGTTCTTGCTTTTCTCTTCAATACTCCTACTCATAATTGTGCATGTTGCTCCCCTGGCCCAGAGACTTTATTTTATCCCATCTAGAGAATAAGCCAGCAACCTTCTACTAGAGCAGTGGTTCTCAAACTTCCTGATGCCGTGACCTTTAATACAGTTCCCCCAACCATAAAATTATTTTTGTTGCTACTTCATAACTATAATTTTGCTACATATCGCCATCAGAAATAGGTGTTTTCCAATGGTCTTAGGTGACCCCTGTGAAAGGGTCGTTCGATCCCCAAAGGGGTTGCGACCCACAGACTGAGAATCGCTGTATTAGAGTGACATGACAAATTCAAACCAGCTATAGTGAAGTAAGGTCAGGGATCTGTGAATCTGGATGCTTTAAAAAAAAAAACAGCATTTTTTGAGGAATAATTGACATAGCATAAAATAAATGCATGTGTTTAAAGTGTATAATTTGATAAGTTTTGACAAATGTATACACCTATGAAGCCATCACCATAGTCAGGATAGTGAACATAACCATTATCTCCCAAAATTTGTGCCTGTTTGTGAGCTCTTCTGCTTCTACCCAGGCTTCCCCTTTTCATGCAAACCCTTATCTACTTTCTTTCATTATGGATATGTTTACTTTTTTATTTATTGATTGATTGATTTAGTTAGTTCGTTAGTTAATCCTCACCCGAGGACATTTTTCCATTTTTTGTTTAGATAGAGTGGGAAGGAGAGAGAGAGAAAGAAACATTGTCGTGAAAGGGACACATCGAGTGGCTGCCTCCTGCCTCCAGGGCCGGGGACTAACTGCAACCGAGGTACGTGCCCTTAGCAGGAACCAAACCCAGGTCTCTCTGGACCACAGGCTGACACTAACCGCTGAGCCAAACCGGCCAGGGCAATATGTTTACTTTTTCTAGAGTTTTATGTCATTGGAATCATACACATTATATACTCATTTTAGCCCTGGCCGGTTTGGCTCAGCGGTTAGAGCGTCCGCCTGCGGTCCGGAGAGACCCGGGTTCGGTTCCCGCTAAGGGCATGTACCTCGGTTGCAGTTTGTCCCCGGCCCTGGTTGGTCGTGCGGGTGGCAGCCACTCGATGTGTCCCTTTCACGTCGATGTTTCCCTCTCTCTCTCTTCCTCTCTCTCCCTCCCACTCTGTCTGTACAAAAAAATGGAAAAATGTCCTCGGATGAGGACTAAAAAATAAAATAAAAAAAAATAAAAATATATACTCATTTTATGTCTGACTTCTTTCACTGAGCAAAATTATTTTGAAATTTGTTCATATGTCAATAGTTGTTTTTAATTGCTGAGAAGTATTCCATTGTATGTTATATACCACGATTTGTTTTTTCATTCAGCTGTTAATGGTCATTTGAGTTGCTTTTTTGTTTTTGGCTTTTACAATTAAAGCTACAATGAACATTCATGTGCAAATCTATACGTATATTTTCTTTTCTCTTGGATCCACCTAAGATAGAATGGCTGGGTCAAATGGTAGATAAAGATTAACTTTTTAGTAACTGCCAACTGGTTTCTGAAGTGATTGTACCATTTTATGTTTCCATCAGTTGTCAATGAATAGAGTATCAGTTCTTCCACATCCTTGCCAACACATGATATAGTCAATCTTGAATTTTAGTTATTCTCATGGAGTGTAATAGCCTTTCATTATGGCTTTCATTTGCATTGTCTTAATAACTATGCATTAAAATTAAAACTTTTTTTGAACAAAAACAAATCTTCAAAAGCTAGGTTGACAGGCCATAGATGTGGAAGAGATGTTTGTCATTCCTAAAACTGAACAAGAATGGGTATCTGGAATTTATAAAGAAATATAACTCAATCATAAATAGCTAAAACAATCTCATGAAAAGTGGGCAAGGGATATGAACAGGTAATTCATAGAAGTGGATGTTCAGATGACCAGCAAATGTGAAATTTCATTGATAAACTGGTAAGTATAAACTAAAATCACAACAAAATGTTATTTTACACTCATTAGATTGGCAAAATTAATAAGTAAAAATGTAAATATTGACAAGAATATACAACAGAGGGGACTTATACACTGCTGATGGAAACAAATCTGCAAACATTGGAGAGCAGTTTGCTTTAACCAGTAATTCCAGTCCTGCAGAAACTCGCATATGTATACAAGAAACAGTGCACAAGGGTCTTCACCCCAGACTTATTTTTCGTTGTTGTTGTTGTTGATCCTCAGCAGAGAATATTTTTTCCATTGATTTTTAGAGAGAGTGGAAGGAAGGGAGGGAGTGGGAGAGAGAGAAATGTCACTATGATGGAGACACATCGATCAGTTGCCTCAACATGCCCCAACCTGGGCCGGGAACCAAGGACCAAACCTGCAGCCCAGGTACATGCCCTTGACCAAGAATCGAATCCAAGATACTTCGGTCCTCAAGCCGACACTCCAACCACTGAGGGACACAAGCTAGGGCCAGAGTTATTTTTAATAATGAAAAATAGGAAGCCACGTAAATGTCTATTGATAAAGAAGATAAACAAGTTGTATTATATTCATGCAGTGATATTCTTTAAAACTGTGACAATTAGATTATGGATATTAATGCAATTAAATCTCAGAAACAATGTTGCATGAAGAATGTAGGCTGCATGTTGATATATATAACCTGATAGTATTTATATAAAGTGTGAAAACACTCAGAACATTGTTTATGGATGTGCACAGACATATAGTACTTGTAGAAACATATGCTCTGTGTAGCAGAACAGTGCAGTTGAAGGAATGAGTTACCTTTGCAGGAAATGGGGTCAAGGAAGGATACAGTATGTATTCAATAAATATTTGAATAAAAGTTAAAAGTTTTTATATTTATCATTTGTCATTATTCTTGGTGAAATATAGACAATTGTCATTGAAAATATACAAAACCCAGTTGTAGTGAGTTTTATGGATATCATCTATCTGTACATCATTAATATACATGATGGCTTCACTGTAGCAGTCTAGTGTATATTTGTAGTTTTTAAAAATTGCATTTACCCTAACATATGAGGGAAAAAAAATGCTTTAAATACACTCAATGACTTTACTGTTAGAATGGAAGTAAATAAACCTAGATTCTTTATAGATTTTTAATTCTCAAACCCACTATGAGTAATTCTATATTTTTAATCTCTTTTTTTTTTTTCTTTTCAGTATATAACCAGAACAATTTTTATTTTCTTTCTTCATTAGGGATTTTGAGGTGCCACTGAACAATAATTTTGTTTATTTAGTCAGGAAATTTTTTTCCTCACAGTTGCGATCTTGCAGTAAGAGTGAATTGATATCTAAGAGCTCAGAGATCCTCATGATGTTTCAGCAAGTTCATCGAAAACCCATGGCATCCTTTGTTACCACTCCTGTTCCACCAGATTTTACCAGGTATGATGCAGTTTTAAAATTTCATATTCATAATAAGTTTATGTGCAAATGCATATACTTGCTTTTTTTTAATGTTGTTTTTCTTTATTTTTTAAGATGCTGTTTATAAGGGTGTGGTCTAGAAGACTTTAGTTAATGCATGTAAATCTGGTTTAAAAAATTCTTGTGGACTCGTACATTTTTTAGTGTAAAGAGGTGATGATAGTGAATTAGGAATTGGTTTCTTCTTGGAGCTTCATCTTCCACACTGTAGAAAAACTAATTGATCACATTTTATTTCATGACTGTCCATTCTTTTTTTTAAGTTAATATATAATTGACATAACACCCTGTTTGAAGTTTACAACATAATATTTTATATATTGAGAAATGATCACAATAAGTCCAATGTGTAGTTTACATCCATCACCATAACATAGAAAAATTTTTTTCTTGTGATGAGAATTTTTTTTTTTTTAATCTTTCTATGTTGTTTGTTTGGGTTTTTTTGTTATTATTAATTTAGTTTTGTTACAGATGTTTCTCCTTTTTTCCCCATTGGTGATGAGAACTTTTAAGACCTCTCTTAGCAAGTTTCAAATATGCAACACAGTATTATTAACTATAGCCACCATGTTATAAAATACAGTTCCATAACTTATTTTATAACTAAAAGTTTATACCTTTTGACCTCTTTTTTAAGATTCCTCAAATAAGTGAGATCATGCAGCATTTTTCTTTCTGACTTATTTTACTCATTTTACATAATGCTTTCAGTGTTCATCCATGTTGTCTCATGTTCATTCTTTTATTTACCTTTGGAGTTTACTTATATCTTATTACACAGTGACTATAGCTTTTTACATGTAT